ATATTAGAAATTGTTTGTATAAACAAAAGATTTTTCTGCAAAACTGTATACACCGTTAAATTAGTCATTAAAAAGCAGTAATTTCATCAATTTACACAAAAACAGTATCTTCAATAATTTCTGAGATATTTAACAAAATATGTTTCGCACCTCCAACTTTGAGGGTAGTTTTTACTCCTTCAATATCAACCATTGCCGATAAAAAAAAAATATGGATATTTTCGAATATTTTTTTTAAAACTAAATTTGTGCCAAATTTCATCAAAATCGGCGATTCAAAGTTCGGTATGTTCCCTTATTAATATCACTTAACTATGTTAACTACAAGCATTTTAAGAAAGTGCAAAATATAATCAAAAAATAAAACAATTCAAAAATTCAAACTCAATATTGTTTTAACCATGTAAATCTAGTTACACGAAATTTTTATTACATTACTTCTTATTATACAAACGAAGAAACGATAGTAAAAAATAGGACTCTAATGATCCATTTATTTGAATCGTCTTGTGTTTCAAACGGTCCAGATAAATGGTGTCCACTACATTATTTTTTATTAACTGAATATTAATATTGATTAGTATAAATTATGAACAACATTGTTAAATAAAAATATAAGAGTATTGCTGAATTTTACTTTTATACTACACAAGTTATACATGTAAAAACTACATGAACTGTTAAAAAAGTACAAAAGGAAATAATAAAGAGTTTGAATTAATATTACTGTATCATCCCTGTTGTATATTGTGTTATTCCTTCTAAACATGTTCTTGAACGATAAAGGAAGAAGTTACATTAAATTTAGTAAATATTTTAAGTTTAATTTTATAAAATTTATGCATTTATAAAAAAACAGTATGAACACATTGTCATCCTTATTTTTCCTCATCTTTCATATGATAGATTTTATATAATTAAAGTTAAAATATCTCCTAAATAAAATCGGGTTTCATCGTTTATTGAAACAAAAAATATACCATTCCATTTAAAAAAGTAGAATAACCTTAAAATGATTTTGAGTTCCTCCATTTACAAAAAATTATTACTATTATCATATTGCCCCTCCTTCCGCCTTGTATTAAGCAAAGTTTTTTCATATTTTCAAAAACAAACAAAGATATTCAAGATTATTAAATTATGTGATTTACCCTTTATATATGTAAAGAAAGAAAAATTAAGAGATAAAAGATAAAACTGATGATATCCGATAAAACCCGATATAATTATAAGACATCTCCTGATTTTTCGTGTTTTTCAAAATCTATGATATATACAAAGATTTTATTATATATTGATTTTCTTTCCTCACTAACACTGTATAAAAACCATGACTATTTACATTGCATTTCAAAAATTACGTTTATGAAAAACGGGTAAGACAAAAAATAGGACACTTCAGAAAGCATAAGAATAACAAATCAGAGACAGTCAATGAATTGTAACATCTATACGATGCGAATTTATCTAATATAGCATTATCATCTACAATAAATTTATATTCTGTAGTATAATTCAATTACTATATAATTCAATTACTATATATTTTTGATCATAAAATTGGTCACAAAAATGAGAAGAAAACTATCTTAAATTTGAGAAAAGATAATCTGAGTGTTGTAAAAATTGCAAAAATAACAAACAGAAGCAGGAATATAACTTATAATTATAAATATTATATATTCTATACAAAATTTTTGTACATATCACAAATTTTCAGAAACATAAAAAATTGGGTTGTCTTATTATTTTATCGTAATATATATAATCTTCAATAAAATTCATCAGATTGATTATACAATTGTAGAAGTATGTAATCATGCAATTGTAAAAGTATAAATATATTATTACCCGATTATTTAGAAAAACTTATTAAAAAAATTCATAAACTTACAATGTGATGCTATAAACCAGAGACTGAAAACCGAAATATTTTGAGGTTTATGTATTATACCGGTAAACTGAAACCGAAATATTGTAGGTTTAGGTATTATACCGGTAAACTGAAACCGAAATATTGTGAGGTTTAGGTATTATACCGGTATTTGGGAAATCTGTTTTAATACCGATATATACCGGTATGATACCGCTTTACTGACGAAAACCCATTTTTCATTTTCTACGTACAGTGACTCTTATTAATATTCGGACATCATGCTATTCAANTAATAAAAATAAATAAAGTGTACGTGTATAAGCGTCGTCAAATTTACTATACAGCTTTATGAAAACATTTAATCATTGTCTTTTTTTTCTTTTCTAATATATTACTATTTTATTTACCGGTATTATATCGGATTCATACCGGTATTATACCGAAACACATCTACCGACTTAACATCGTTATACCGGTATTCACACTATTTCGGTTTCATCAAACCGAAATCGAATAGTAACCTAAAAATACCGGTATTTTTCCGGTATCCGTAATACCGATTCGGTCTCTGCTATAAACATATAAAACGTTGTTTAAATTTTTCTGCTTTAATAAAATAAATAAAACTTTATAATTTTTTATTGGCAACATAAATTTATTATCTATTACTCAATGATTCGAAAATAAATTATAAACAGACAACAGATGTTTATATAAATTCATATTATTATGGAATAATAAAAAGATCCATTTTACTCTTTAATGTACATATTTATTTTGTATATTTTATACATTTTTACACATTTAAATTTCTGTATGAATAACAAATATCCATAATTTGATTCCAATAAAATGATATATATGTATCCATAAAAAATATTAGAATTATGTATAAAACATAGTAATTGATCTAGATTATTTGGGAAGCAATTATTTGATTTTTTTTTTAATAAAATAGCAATTCAGATACAATTAAAAAATTAAAATATTATAGAAAAATAATAAATTAAGAATATAAAATTAAAAAATTATAAAAAAAAATATTTAAAATAAAAATTATAGAAAAATTATAGGAAAATTAAAAAATTATAAAAAAATAATAGATAAGAATATACAATTAAAAAATTATAGAAAAATAATAAATTACGAATAATATGTTAATCTCTAACTTCTTTCTTTAACCTAAATGTAGGATTTAAAAACAAAACTAATTTGATTTATAAACTAATGCAGAATCAAATAATAATATACTGAATATAATAAAATAATAATATACTGAAGTGAAATTATAATTTTGCATATAGAAAACTATTTTATTTATTATTTCAATATTTGGTTATTTATTAATAGTCATTTTAATCACTTTAAATCATTTTTGTTATAATGCTGAGTTTTTTATTATAATATTAAATAATTAATTCTATTATCCTAAAAATAAATTTGTAAAATATTTAAAGAAAATATGTTGAGGTCTAAATATCCTTTTGTAGAAAATTTCATAAATTTTCTATGATATTTTAATCCATAGATTGTGGAGAAATTTTTGATTGCTGTGACATATTGTGTAGAATTTAATGTCTTGTATTAGAAACATTGTGTATCAACCTTTCAAGTTATTGGTTTCTAGTTCTAATTTATTTATACCAATTTAATCTGTGTTTCTTTTTACAATATCAGTATAATAATTATATTCGTATAGTCCTGAATTTTGGCTAATCTACTATGTTTTATAATCAACTTAGTTAGTTATAAGTTGATTTAATATTGAATATAAAAAATTAACTTATAATCAAGTTAGCTTTTTATATTCAATACTTTTTTGCAATCATATTGAATTATACTAGTTCATCAGAAAATGATTGCAATATGAAATGTATTGCAATATAAACATAGTTTCTTACAAATTGATTATTTATTCTTATTATTTTCATTCATAAAGTTTTTCACAAATTCTACAATAATATAAAATGTTATATATTGTAATGCTGCATAATGATATTAAGATATTTATTACATTTGTCACTTTTAATGCATTTATGCATTTACTTTTTAAATTTTTTTTTATTATATTTGCATATGATTCTTCGAATATTGATTTATTTATAATTTCAGAAATTCTAATTGTTGCACTATTTATGCAGGATTATAACTCTTTTCTTTTTGAATATTTCTGTGTTATTTTATTCCTTACTAAAATTATAACTGTTGTATAGTCCAATTTACACTCTGTATAATTTCTTTATATAATAAGAACTCTATGCCTATTGCATATTTATTTTCTGCTGACTTTTGAATAAATGGTTAATAATATTTTTTTGGAGATGAACAATATACATATATCTTTCGTTTTTTAAAATAAAAATAAACAAAGTTTTATAAAGCTTTTATTGAAATTATCTATTATATAAATATTTTTTACTACATTTATTATTATTTGTAATTAAATTTAATTTTCAAGAAAGAATTGTTGATATATTTAGAAAAGTTTTTAAAACATTTGAGAATGATTGTGTGATTGTATTATATAATGAAAATAAACAGAGAAGATTCTACATAAAAATCAAAACATTCAAAAAATTATTCTAAAATAATGTTTTAGTGATATCAGTAATAATAATTTATAAAATATTCTTGTTACATATTCATTATGTAGTTTCACTTGTATAAGAATAGTTCATATATATTTAAAACAAAAAAACTTCTATTAGCTTCAAAAAAATTATAGCAGAAATTAATTAAATATAATGATTAATACATAAATGATAATATTAGGTAAAATAACTAAGTAATGTTTTATGATATAAAAACTTCACAAAGTTATCAGTTATTTGGTAATATTGTGTAGCAATTATTCAGAAAAAATAATTCATGTAAACGACAATGTAAATTCCAGTTATATAGAATAGAATGTATTTATATTTTGTAAATTCATTTTAATAGCTGTATAGTTATTAATTTCATAATAACTGTATTTATATTAAAAAATACACTTTATTAAACCATACATTCTTTCTTACCTAATTTCTATTGGTTTGACGGAGCAAAAATTATAATCTATACCAATTGTGCAACTTATTCTATACATAAAATTACGTTAGGAGTTTAACATAAAAACTTTTATTACCTTGTGTTGATTCTCTAGTAGAAGAAAAAAGCCACTGCACAAAAGATGGGCCAAAATATAGGAGTATTCCACCACATATAGTAAGTAATATAAGTATCTTACGATATGAGTAATTTCCATCAATTAAACGTCGTATTCGTTTTCCAATTTCACGGTTATCGAACATTGTTTTAAATCTTATCATATTCACTGAATAAATTCCAATTTGTACACGTATTTTTGACTGCTATTTTATTTTTGTGATATTGTACAGTAACATAACCTCTTTGCCTCTGTCATAATATCAATTTAATAAAGGAATACTAAATCATTTTTATATTTTCTTTGTCAACAACAGTTTTTAAACATTTTATTATATTTTATAACTCGCACATTTTCAATACTATAATATTTATTTTTGTTGCAATTTTTTTACATCAGACTAACGACAAACATATATAACACTTGATAAATGATGTATACAACTGCTGTATCTATTGTACTTGGTTACTAAATTCTCAATACAATAAAAATTTAAAAAATCAAACATGGAATTTTCTATACAGTTTTATAATATGTCATTAATATGTGTGTATAATATGTGATATAAAATTTATATCTAGTCTCAGAATTTATTTCGCGTAATCACTTTCCTTGAAAAAATGCGCGAAAAATTGAAAATGCTTATTAAAACGTAAAAATAACTTTAGTTGCAAGTACAACTGATTTCCAAATATTAAATATTAAAATATTAAGATACAAAAATAATATTATAAAATAAGAAGTAAGAGTAATAAAAGAGTAAGAATAAAAAACTCTTAATATATGTATTTAATAGAGAAAGAGTTAAAAAGTAAAAAGTAATATTAATATAGGAAGAATTCAAATGTATTAAAAATAAGTATACAAATCAATACATGTACACATGCATATATGCATATTTGATGTAAATAGAAATATTTAATTTAATTTAACATTTCGATATATACAATATGTTACTATGAAAATACATAAATCGCATACAATATTGCTTGGATTATATATTTTAGTATTAAAAACTGAAAATGTTTCACAAATCAATTTATATTTTTTTAAATTTGAAAGATCGGTAAAATTTGGCAATTTCTCATTTATTTACTCATTTTACGTATTTCGATAAATCAAAAAACCTTACATTAAAATAAGTACTCAGAAAAGAAAAAGGGGAAAAGAAAATATAAAATTTTAATTTCGGATATTTATTAATTTCCGAGGTATAATAAAAACTATAGACTATAGACAAAGATTATAGACGAAGTATATACATATACTGTTATCGTTATTGTCATCCATTGTCAAGGAGCCGATGACTTATAACGAGCGACAACAGCCTCAATATCTATAAAATATCTTATCTATTTTGCAATTTTAGCAATTTTGATTTTAAATTACCACTTCTAGGCACCATTTTTTCATTTCTTTATATTACTTAATTTAAAAAGTAGAATATTATGACAATTATATTATAATATAACAATTAATAATATGCTGCATTCATAAAAAAGTGAGACATAAAAATATTCAAAAACGGTAGAATATTATTAAAAATTTATTTCAAATTTTTTCAACTATTCCGATATTTCTAACAATATATCTCCATATGATTTCACGAAGAAAAGAAAACATTCAAAACAGAAATGAAAACCAGCAGAAAATCCTTTTTGTATAGCATCCCAATTTCCCAAAACCGTTTGCCTCTAGAATTAAACTTTAGAATTAAAGCAGTACTTTATTAAGCAACAGATAAGAAGGATTTGTTGATTGTATTCTATTCGTGAACATTAAATAATGAACAATAAATTATGAGAAAAAATTATTAGAAAGAATTGATTGTGAGAAAAATTTATAAAAAAGAATTATAAATCCGTCTTTGATTGTACAATTAGATATTTATAACACCAGGGAACAAAAAAAATTTTTTCATGTTACCAAAGGTTTAAGATCATTTATATAATATTTGAAAGCCCTGATTTCGTATTATATATTCATTTTAGCTGAATTGATTCTGACTTTTAAAATAATCGAAATCGGTCAAATTTGACCTAATCTTAAATTGTACTGGATTATCCGGGAAGTTCGTACCGATTTTTAAGAGAAATTCAAAGATAATATCTTCATGTGTCGATGTTTATTTATTCAATTATATATTCAACATTTTGTTCTACATTTTACTCTTCATCTTTCATGCAACTTAAAGATTCCATCCTTCCAGAACTTGTCTGGTTTTTCGGTGAAAAACTTCTCAAGGTAATTTTTTATGATGACCAAAGAATTGAAATTTTTACAGCTAAAAGAATTTTTTAAAGACCTGAGTGAGCCTTTCTAAAGATGCAATGTCTGGTGAATACGGCGCGTGGCAGCCAATTGGGACATCCTAACCAAGCTCCAACAATTTTTGTTGAGTAGTCAAAAAGAAATGAGGTTTGGCATGATGTCTTTTTTATTAATTCTGTTTTGAAAAAAAAGACGTATCAGCCATATTTTGGACGTGAAATTAGAGAGTAGGACAGACAATGACTATCACATAAAGTTTGTAAAACATGCGTTGAATCACTTCGCAATTGGACTTAACAATAAGGAAGATAAAAAAAGACTTCTGCATCCGTAGTAGCTGTAGTGTAGAGTAAGCCTAAAGACTTGAGTGATTGCTATTTTTGTGTCAAAAGACGCCAATAAGCATGAATACATTAGCATTGGGTCTGCAAATCCACCGATATCACATAGCGAAGAATTTCCTGTGATTTCCATTTCTATGTCTGAAGCTGACTATTACTGATAATGATATTGAAATATTTTTGTTTTTTAATAACATATTGTAAATATATATCAATAAATAATGGGTAAAAGTTATATGGTTATGTTTTTTTCTATATTGACTTTATTTCTTTTGTGAATATTTAGAACATTTGTTCAAAAATCAAAATCAATCTAGAAAAACAGCATATTCATAATCAGGAGACCCTAATTATACGGACACCGTAATCGACTCATAAATCTTTGACTGTTTTCCGATGTAATCATGGATCTGGACACAGTAATCATACTGTTACCATGGCTTTTCATTGTAAAAATTTTCCAAAATTAGTTCAGTGATAGCTATGCTTGAACTTATCAGTATGAAATTTAATACGATACAAATTAAATAATTATGTTATTAGATTATAGTGATTCTCACAAACCATGTTTCCGAAAATAATCGTAACATTAATCAAGTATAAAATCTAATATAAAAAGTTGGAAATTATGGAGAATGTGAGTTTTCTCACAGATTTCAATGACTTTAAAATATGTTATTAGTAAATCTGAATAATTTTTTTCTGTACATGTAATTGCCTCTCGGCTTTAATTCTCGAAATATTCACAAAAAAATATCTATCTTTATTACCTAATTTACTATTTAAATTAGATCTTAATTTTCCTAAGTTTGTGGGTTTAAATTAATTTATTTTTTATTTTCTTTCTTTGACCCCTTTTTATTAAGAATCATTTACTTTTATGATTTATCTAGTCCAAACTAATATTGATATTTTTCTTTAAAAACATTTTTTTTCGATTATTGGATTGGACTTTTTTTCTTTGAAATCCCAACCCATCGAGAAATTAAATCTACATTAAAATTTCAAAAATATAGTATTAAAAATATTTTGATGAATATCTTCAAAACTAAGACCAAGTGGCAGTTACATGTATTGTGGTGAAAAAATATTCAGAATGGGTACTTAAACAGTACGGTATTTTAAATAGATTCCATTTCTTTGATTTCATTCAAAGAAACCCACATTCTCAATAATTATCATAATTATAACTATCGAAAAACTAATCATCGATGTATATAGTAACAGAATAAGAAAACAAATTTCTTTAACAGGATATAACGAAATTTCTTTTTTATTTTTATATTGTAAAAGATATTTTTAATCATGAACTATTGAGAACACTGTAACTAATACTTTCGTACATGTGATACCTTGTATCAGATCAAAACCTCAATTTTACGTTCAATTTAATTAAAAACTTAACTTCTTCAAAATTAAATAATTCATTACAATATATCCACCATATCTTATTGATAATAAATGCTGCATTCAAATGGTTATGATTATTAAATTTTGAAGGCTTATTCAAAATATTATATTAAATGAATCTTTATTGTTTTTTACTGTGCACACCTGTGATTTCATAGTGTCTGCAAAGTAGTCAATAAATACTAGTTACAAAACTTTATATCAAATGATAATTCAAAAACTTTATATCAAATGATAATAGCTGCAATGTCGAAACTTCACCTGAATATGTTCCACATAGTGATGCCATTTTTGTTTCCAGAGATTATGAAAGCGATGAATTTTCGTTCGATGATTATGACAAAAATAAAATCAGTGATAAACAAGAAATTGCCTTTGAATGAACGTGATTGAACATTAATTCAGTTAAAGGAATGTAAAAATTATTTTATCAACTGCTTCGCTAAACGAAAGAATGAAAAATATTTAATCAACAGAAGATTATCTTTATTTATTTATTAATCGTAAAATTATGTGGATAATAGTCGCATAATATAAATTGAAAACCAGCGTAGTTGATAACGCTAAAAATAAATCTATTGAGTAAATGTACTATCGATGAATAATTAGTAAACAATACTAATTAGAGCACAATCGTTCGAAATGAGAGATCATAGAATACATAACTGAATAAATTAAGAAAGTGCAGGATCAAAATAATGTGTGATGAAACTATATTTTACTATTGTAAAACAATTAATTTCTTATTGATTATAATTACAAACGTAACTCAGACAAGAATTATCTCGTTGGAACAATGAAAAAAATCAAAAAATATTTATCAAAATTTCTTACAAAAACCATATTTATAATCCAATGATTATAATAAAATGAAATAAGGCAATAAATATGAACAAACGTGATCGACATACAGTTAGGTTTAGATTTCTATAACTTTGAAAATAAAAATGTATTTTTGTGAATAATAATTTGTTGTCTTAATGTAGAAGTATTTACTATTGATACGAACATACTTAAATAATAAGATAGATGATATTATGAAACAAGTTATAATTGAAGAATTTCTAGAAATATAGCCATTTCTCAAAAAATGCCCTTTTCCTTTCATTACATTTTTAGAATCTGTAGATTTGATTTTACATGCCAATAAATTACCAATTTTATATTGCAATAATTATATTAAAAAAACATTTCTATAAATTTCTATATCCATTTAATTGTTTGTTAAATATAAAAAGAATGTTTGTCAAAATATAATATATTTTTCCTCGATTTATTTTTTTATTAAGAAAAATATGTATAAATTTTAACAACATTTTTTAATTTCAGTTATTAAGTCTATCTGTAATTAAATCGGCATCGATACTTAAACGTTTAACTAAGAAAATAATTAATAATCGATATTGGAAAATATGGCCCAACTATAGTCAATATCGATAGTTAAATAACATCAAATTACATAATTAACACTCAATATTTAAAAGTTATAATTATAAATACTACAATAAAGAGAATGAAATTAATATTACAATATTGCAACAAGTTTATTGAACGGATTAAAAATTAGTCATATAAAAATCCCATATAATTATTTGACAACCAAAAATGGTTTCCATTTTTATTTAACAAAACAGATTATTTTTATTTAATAAAACAGGTTTCAATAATTTAAAATTTTTAGAAAGAAATCTAATCCTAAGTAATACTTGTTTACTTACATATATTATTTTTTTTATATTGTTTAATATTTTGTGCTGCCTTTTAAATAAAAATAATTATATAGATATAAGTTAAATTAAATATACTTAATGAAACAGAGTTAAAAGTAAGAATTTTTATCTTCAATAATAGTAATTTTAAAAATATAGAAAAGAGATATGGATAGAAAAAAACCATATTTTATTATAAAGGGAAATATAATTATTTACATATAATTATTACATATTCGCTCAATACAATAAACGTACAGTAAATATTTATTTGAACTAAATTTTAGTCCATCTTAATTGGTTGTATGCACTCATTTGAACTTTCATTATATGAATAAAAAAATCATTAAAAAGAAAAGAAAATCAGTGTACTCCAATTATAGAAATTTCAATTATATAATTTATTTGTCCTTCGATAAATTTACATAAACGAATCTACTACATGTAATTTATTTTTTCGACTTTGTGCAAACATGACATTTTTTATCATTGACTATGTAATATAAAATAGTACGTAAAATATATAATATATCTTTAATATTTAATTATTAAAGAAAAATATAAAATTAAATTCAATGTCAAATTTGTTTATTTTCATAACCTTTCACTCATTACAGGCTTGTGAAAGTCATCATGAATCATAACTCACAATCATTTTATTGAAAAATGATAAGTTAATGATATATTAGCTCTTATATTAACAATATATTAAGTGTAATATATAGCAAATAGAAAGTACATAGTATACATTAATCAAAATTAATTAAATTGATTGATTAATTAAATTAATCAAATTAATCAAAATAGTTCATTTTAAATAAAATAAAACATTTAACTTTATAATTTCAAATTATTCCTAAATTATCTATTTAAATTAAGTATTGTTAAATTAAATATTGAAGATACATTATTACATATATAAATAGAAAATAAATGCAGACAATATTGATTTAAAAGTAACATCGAGTCTCAATTACATTTATTATTAAATGTGTTTTATTGATATTATACATTTACAATTCGAAGATAGTAACAAATAAATAATATATAAGAACCACATGAGATTCTATTTATTATATATCCATTAACAAATACCAAAAAAATATTCCATGGTTAATAGCTATTACCTTCGTTAATCATTTTGTTTACATTCTGTTTTTTATTATATTATTAGAATAATGTTATTATTATTAATTATATTATAATATTGTTATTAATATTAATTATATTATTATAATAATCGTTAATTAATTGATTTGTAACAAATTAAGCTGGTGGAATCCAACCACCAAATATTTTCTCCAATTCTCGTGCCACAGCTATACATAAATGATCATTATAGGGTGCTGCTACGACCTTAAAACAAAATTATAAATTTATTAGATAAATTATAATTAAATATATTATTACATAATTAAAAAAATAGTCTCATCTCAATTAAAAAAACTTAAAATATATATATAATAATCTCAATTAAAAAAAACTTAAAATATATAAACACATATATAAATATATAAACACACGCGCGCGCGCACGCGCGCACACACACACACACACACACATTTTAAAATTTAGAATCTTTTGCAAAATAGTTTTGAATTCATACTTTAATCTTCTATTACTTCTATTAATCAATAACTTTAATCTTCTATTACTTCTATTAATCTATAACTATAATTTACAAATAAATTAATGCTGAATTGCACATTCCTATTCAATATTTTTAGATTTCAGATATATTTAAATAATTCTGAAGTAATTTAAAATAAATAAAAGGAAAAGTAAAATAATAAGTAAAAACAAATATCAAACCTATGAATTATTCCGATGTTCATTGTTTTTATTAAATAGAGCACTCAATATGAACAAAATGAAAGAAAGAAATGAAAAAATTTCATTTAAAGTATCATTTTTGATTTATTATTATTTACTTCTAATATCATCTTCTTATTATAAGATTAGAATGTTAATGTAAGTTAAAGCATTGTACAATGATAATGTAAAGTGAATAATTACATACAATACGATTAATCTGATCTCGTAAGCAAGAGTTCAAAGTTGAAGCCGTCATACAGTGTTGCATGTTGACCAGTCGCCGACGACCAGGTCGTCGCTTTTGTTACAAAAATAATGCAATAGAGAATTATTTATATAATTTCTTTCGTTTTTCGATCTTTTATGACTTTAAAATCATTAATAACTAGCACGAATACGGATATGAGATAATTTATCCTTTCTGAAAAAAAACTATTTCTTACTTCAAAAAAAGTATTTTTTACTATTTATTCAAGTACATTAAATAATTATAAAGTAAAAAATAATAGTTATAATAAATACAAACAAAATAATTAAAATAAATCTGAATAATCGAATTTTTCGAAATTTTTCAATTTCTCAGAAATACCAAGCTTATATCCATGGCTATTAAGTGCTAAATATATATTACAAATATATATCGCAAAATTTAAAATTCCAATTAAAAAATAATTTTTCCATTACGTTTTGTGTATTTATGACAAAATAAAATTTGCCAGAATATAGTTTACAGTGTGACGCTTGTATTTGATTCAACTTATTTCGTTAATTGCAACGATCAATGCAGAGATCGAAAAAGTTAATGAACTTTTAAATAAGTTCTGCTTAAAATATAGAACTTTTTCGAAAAATATTTTTACATTATAAATCCCGATGAGAACAGATAAATAAATGTCCTTAGAAATAAAAATTTTAGACAGAATGGAACTTATAATATAAAAATAAAAATTTTTCTAAGAAATAAATAATTTGTTCAGTATTTAAAAAGTTGTAAATATTGACACTGAATATTCAATGAATAGTATTCGAATATAAAAATGGATTTTTCATTAAATGTTCTAAAATAATTTGTTTCTATTGAACTTTTATTATCCTTCACATAGATTCTCTTTCTAAAAATATTTGTTCCGTGAGAACATTATTGAAAAGCGTATAACACTTAAATATAACACCTAAGTATAACCTAAGTATAACACTTCTTTCAATAAAAATTGCACAAAAATAAATATATAAAGTAGGATAGTAGCCAGATGTATAATGTATTTAGCTTTGTAACAAAAAATCGGATGGCAAAAAAATCGCATAAGGCTAAATTTTTTAATTGAATTTAATATAATAAGAAAATGACCAAATTTTTTGGAAAAAATTATTTGGCTCACGAGAAAATAAAATTTTCTGAAGATATGCAAAAACTCGGTTTCGCCTCGTAGGGATAGATAAACCCGGGTACCTATTAAAAGACATATCAAATATAGTTATAAAATTATTTTTATTAATTAAAAAATAGTAAAAACAGTCATTTTTAACAATTTTAATAAATATAAAAGTATTCTATTTGGTCTGTCTTAAAAATTATGTTACTAGTTTAGATCTGCCAAAGAATCGTCCGTGAGTCACTCGTATTTTTGTTGTTTCTTTAGTTATTATCGGCTACACTGATTGCAATTAAGTTCATAAAAGCTCATATATTCTCTTGTATCTAATTATTGCCGACGACTTGATCCTGCAACTACAATCGACAATTTCTATTAAATCATATAATGTTATATCAAATTTGAATGCAGATTGAATATATATCATACGTTAAGCGTTATGCAAATTAAAAGCTGGTTGTCAAACTTAATGTACTATACCAATACCAAAATGTTTTGTAAACTAGTTGATTAACATATTGCTTCATTATATTTATCTATAATAAACTATTGTGAATAAAGCAATATTCCGCTACTTTGTATTAGATATATTTATACATTTAGAACTTCTTATTTTTACATTATTTGGAAAATCGATGAAGAAAAAATTGGATAAAGAAAATGTAATTATTGCAGAAAAATAGAAAGATTTTTAGACTTCTTTTAAATGAAGATACTTGTATCGCGATATCGAAAATACTCGTAATTTAATAAACTACGATCGTCTGATTTAGTAGTGCCGTTCAATACTAATTTCGTCTATCTCGAAAATCTCAGCCTTGAATAATTTTCTTTTGGAATTATTTTATTATTTATTTATCAAATAATTTTTTACATTTTTTTACATTTTAAATTCATTTTTAGAAATAATTTCCTAAACAGTTTCTGATTCTATTGAGCAAACTATATTCAATATTTATTATTTTATTTTGATAAATTAACTTAAATAAAAAATGATTTGCAAATCATTTATTTGATATATTTAATTATTTAAAATTACTTTTTCTACGTTATTTTAAAAATAAAAATAAAAAATTAATGGAAATGATTCATTATTCTAGTTTTATTTTTTTATTTCAAATAATATTTGCCCAATCCTACATAAAGATTAGAATCTGTCATCAAATGCTCACACTTGTTCTTTCTTCAGACCTCTCAGGAGGTCTGTTCCGAAAGAAGATCCGAGAAATGGAGCACCTAACAGAAGAACAAAAAAAATAGAACCAAAATGTTTTATTAAACTATGAAACTTATATTTCATTTCTAAATCAATGTATCGTGATATCTGTATGGATAGTGCAAGTATCTCCGTCTGAAAAGAGTTTTATTGGGAGTAATCAATACAGAGATCTATCTTAATGAATATATGATTGTCAAAAAATATGAATTCAACCCCAACTACAACATCACTGACAATAAATAATTCATACAGATTGTTTTAGGAGTTATAACAAGTAAAAAATTATAAGAACATTTTTATAGTTAAATATAGTTAAAACGTTTTTACCATGAAGAATTTACAAATCGATATAGCAATAACTTTTGTTCTTAAAATCACTAATGGAAGCGACCTGAACTTTTGAACCAATGAATTCCTTCGAATTATTACATTTCGTCTTTATTCGACAGATATTATCAGAAGATTTAGAAAAAGTATTTCAAAAAAGTTGTATTCTAAAATGTTGAAGTTTTGCCATTTATTTAAAAATTTTGGTTTTAAAATGAAAGAGTCAACCAACCACTAGGATGAAACGAAATTTTGGTTCTTTATTAGTTTTTGAAATAGTAATGAAAAGCTTTGGGTACAATATTTAATATATTGAGTTACGTCTACATATACAGACGTTACTAATACAATTCGTATATTAAACAGCACTGTACAGTGATTACTGTTACGATATCGTCTTCAGTGTCTGTAAGGTGTCCCAATCACGATATTTCATCAACATCGGATTTTATCGACAACATTAATTGCAATAGTGATTGGATTACAAAGAGCCAAGATCCAATTTAATCCCAATAGAATAATCATTATTACTACACTATAGTTTCCATGGCGGATTTTAAGTGGAATATTTTATAGGTTTTGAAGTCAGAATAATTGATTAACATAAAAGTCAGATTAATAATGATTCTATATAGGCAGAATTTAATATACTGTACCGAAATTTTTTTTATTGATATCTTGGAAATAATATCCGAAGCTAAAATTTTATAGTGGAGTGCTATTCCCCTTCTGTCTATTTCTTCAAAATTCTATTTCATTCTGATAAATTTCATTCCAATTTTTATTAAAAATCTAATCAATATATATTATATAGGTTCTAATCTTTTTGATATAAAATCACCTTTTTTTTAATAGTATTTTATATTATAAATAATTCTCCTTTTGCAACAGATATATTCAATAGAAACAAAATAGCATTATTTCGGAGCATTATTTAATCGAAATATGAACTTGAGATTATTTTATAATTTATGAGCGCACTGCGTATATACGTATTTCATTTTTAATATTGACTCTACACTAGATAAATCTGTTCACGAATAAAAATGTTGTAAATAATTCGTTCGATTAAACAAATCACCACCAACAGGTCTACAAAAATATTTTGATATATCGCCTCGCGGGCGAATATTATTACTCATACACTATTCACAAACTGCAATGTAGCATAAGAAATTAAAAGTAAATATTAATGTAACAAAGATTACTTTAGAGATACAAACAGAATACAAATCTTTATTATTTATCCAGTGTGATAAGAGTTATTCTCGTGTCGTTAACAATTCTGTGTATTATTTTAAAATGAAAATATTTCAATAGCTATATTTCGCCTAAATCGTATAAAAAGCTTCATCAACATTTATCTACTGTATCGAATATTAACAATTTAGTAAATAAAAATAAAAATTGATTTTATGAAAGGATTGTTTTCAAAACTTATTATTAGATTCATTAGATATGTTTTACTTAGTAACTATTATAAATCTTCTATATATACATGTATTGAACTCTGCTTTATTTAGTACTTTGAACACATAGTGCAATAACCTTTTCGAAAATTATCAAGTTTCACTTCTACAATATTATATTTATACTGTTTTTTTTATAACACTTGTTTTCATTTTTATTTGGTTTTGTTTATTATTATTTATGATATTTTTATAAATTGTTTAATATTTGTAAATAAATAATAAAACTTTAAACAAAATTTTGATATTTTTTAGTTTATCTAAATTTGACTTGTACAATTATCTCTTGAAATTTTTTTTATGTTTTACCAAATGTCTAATGTTTTAATAAAATTATTTGGAAATAATTTTCTTACCTGTATTCCAATAGGTAGTCCATTTTTATCTACACCAAGAGGCACTTGGCAAACCGGAAATTTCAAAACATTGAAAAGACACCAATAACCAAAGTTAAATGGTCTTAAATAGGCTGTATAATGGTAACTTGTTTGAAGAGGCGAAGACGGATAAAATAATATCCCATTATGCTCCAATTTTTCCTAAAAATAAAATGCATCTTTATTTAAAAAAAAGGAAAAAATATAAAATTTAATTAAATTAACCAAAATTTTAAAAATATTTTAAAACAAAAAGTAGTTGCTCATTGAATATACAATAGCGTTTAGAAGTTCCTGACCAGATCGCTACTTTTCTTCCATAAAAATTCTCCAATCACACTACTTTTTAACGAATATTAATTAGACCATTCTATTTTTTTTTTTTTTTTTTTTTTTTTACTGATTAATGATTTTTTGACACTAGCTCTACCAAAAAGTCTCACGTCGTGTAATCTTCTTAAGTACAATTCACATTATCATTTTCTTCCTATAATACAGTCTCGATATCGGTAACTGTTTGGATCCGAATATATATATAAAAGAGAAGTAACCTCTATGCTACTATATAGATATTATAAGTATCTATAAATATTCTTAATATTCTTGATGTGTTTGTACGTTCAAATGACTAACAAAATTGTCAGTTTATTAAGAACGTTATCATGTTTTTTTATTATTGTATTTCTTAACATTTTTAACATAAATAAGCATTTTTTAAATGCTGCAAATATGAGAAGATACATTTTCATCAGTTTCATTTGTTGCTTTAATTTGTAGAAAAATTTATATCATGACATGCGACAGTTATTCAATCGCGGATTATTCTGCTTTTGATGATAGAGCCGGTATTATTTACGAAATATTCCACTTTATAATGCAAATGATTTAATGAAATCTTATATGCCATATAAGGTCATTAGTAAGTTCCTTTTCCAATTATAAAAAACATGTAAATCATATAATAATAATAAACTGATTGAATGATGTATGAAAAAAGGTATCTATCAATATTCAGTTCGAATAATAAAACTTTTGAGTAGTAGAATGTTCGGATAATGGGAATTCAGGGTATGGGATGCTAGTATAAATAATAATACGAAATAATAATACGTTCATTGGTATTTTACCGGATCTAAAGAAAACAACGTTTCTGGAAAAATTGTTATGAGATATTTGGTTTCGAAATTCAACCTTATCATAATATGACCTTACTTCTCAAAATAAATTTACTATTAGTAGAAAATAAAATAACAACAAATATACATAACAATAATAAAAAATTGTAATGGTGTAGCAATAAAAAATCAATTCTAAACACTTTTTTTCTGTTAATCAGTCATATATTCTGAAAACTATTTGTTCCACCGCATACATATCTGCGTTTGGGATCAATCATAAAGCAATTCAATGGTTTGAAAATCTTTAAACTCGATTTTCTCGAAAACGAAGTCTCAAATCAAAAAATTTTTTTCTTATCTTTTTTTGTGAGTTATCATTTTCTGCCTATTATGTATCATTTTAATGTACCCTGTATCTTAATATCATTTTAATTACCCTGTATCTTAATATCATTAGTTCCTAAATTTTTTATAATAATAATTGAAAATAATGGTACCCAGAGACAAAATATATTACTTGTATAGTTTACTTCACATGAAGAGAAATAACAATGCAGCGAACAAATATCAATAAAGTTAGGCGCGCTGATTTTGGCAGAATTCAAACGCATTTATGATTGCACATCACGGTTAAATATAGTTAGTCTTTTCAATATAAAATCTGAATAACGTGATTGTTGACGTAATCTATGCAAGATTTAAATGGTTTCGTGTCTTCGATGGTTTTTTTCACATTTCATAATAATACAACTGTACAACAAAAGTCAATACCATTTGTTCACTCATCGTGTTCGATCAATTAAGAAAGATGTATAAAAAATTGTAAAAAACATTTACATTATCCTTACGCAATCTCATAATACGATCAATTATACAGTTATACAATACAATGTTTGATTAATATTTCACTGATACCTCGTATATTCTGATCATCATAGGGGCCACTCTTATCAATAATAATACTTGAATAAAATTTCATTATCTCTTGGGTTACGATTACAATGAATCTATTTTCTGATGAATTAACATTCTGACAAATAGAAACTAAAATAAGAAACTAAATAAATTAATTTTTATGTGAACAACTGTATTGCATTTGCAATTAAATAATAATAAAATTATATTAACATTCGGACAATGCGAATAATGTAAATAATGAATTTGTTTAGACTAGATATACAATATTATATTAGAGCGATAATAAAGTTACCACTTAAAAAGATGTATTTCTCGAATAAACAAGAAATGAAAATAAAAATATAATTTTATAAAAGTGTACGTTAAAATCGAATGGGCTGAGGCATCGCCGCTTATGTTAACAATTGAGTGACAACCATTCAAATGTTAAGTAATAACTTACCATTAAATATTTTTTCATATTTGTAGTTATATTCTTTGCCCATTCAGCATCTTCTCTGGGAAGTATATCTTCATCGATCAATTTTATAATAGCAGCTAATGTTAATTCCGATTTTCCAGTTAAGAATTTTGAAAGTTCTGTAAGAGCACTCGCACGATACTAAAAAGAAATGTATATGAATAATATAGATTAATATGAATATTAATGTGGTATATAAATATATAAATTATAATTTTCATTTATTCCATTTATGTTAATAAGATGTACAATTCACACAGTTCACACTTGCAAGTTTTTCATTGAAATTTTTTCTAACTCTATCATTTAAAATCAACATACAATGGGTGATCGACTAATGAACATAATCTGTTCAAAGACGATGTTATGCTATCCCAATTATTAATGTTAACGATCATTGATGGTAGTAAAATACAGTTCTACAAATCTTACATACAGCGTTGCGGTGTGAAGTGTTCATTGTCTGAACATAAAATCTTTCGCGAAAGTGTTCGTTTTCTGATTTGTTTGCAATCTAAACTATTCGTACACCACATATACGTACCGTAATAAACTATTTATATTAAAAGTTTAATAAGTTTTTACAAGCTACTATTTTTAATTTTTTAAAGTTTTCCTTTCTTTCAAAATGGTTTACTGTTTTTTATTTTTTCAAGACTATCAGTCTCTCATTTTTCGGTTGCATTAACGCTTTTTTTTATCTATATGTAACCATTAAACATTTTCTTTTTACCTAAAAAGTTTTTAACGCAAACAGCAAATTAAAATAATTAACATAATTTTTATTCAATTTTGTCAAACTAATTAAAAGTGAAAAATAAATAAACATCATTTTATAGTATAGATTATAATTAACATGATAGAGTATTATACCTATATGAAGAAAATGTAAACAGACTATAGCAAAACTTCAATGATTAAATTGCGTTGATTTTCATTTGCTTGTGTGAATAATTCTTCGTTTTTTGTACTATATATTTTGTACTATGTATATATTTTGTACTATAGTTTATAATTTAATGCTATTAATTATAGATTAATTAAAGATTAATTAAGCTTAAAAATTCCAAACTGAGATGTGTGCTACTGAAATGGAAGTATAATGAAATACATATCTCGCTTCCTTTAAAATTTATTTAACCTATCACTATACAAATATGCACCATCCTAAACTGAAAATATCTCTAGAAATAAATGACAGTGTAATTGTTTTCCAATTCGAACTATTTTCTTCATACTCGTACAGTCACTGCTACTGACATTAAAAACTCACAGTATTATTGAACTTAGAATAGAAAACAATCATTTTCATTCATTATGGAACAAATATGTCGTGCTTGAAGCACTATTATGATGAATAACTACCATTATATCAGCAATAGTTTTCATATCATTACAACCTCGGTCATTACATTTTATACTTTTATTTTATACATCCTGTATTATTTTAATTTATTGTCGACATTTATAAACTCTGTTTCAGATAATTATTCCGTCATTTACAAACTCTATTATCAGATAATTATTCCGAAATTAAATTTTTGTAATAAAATTTTGTACTGTCATTATCTGAAGATGTCATTTATATCACAAAGGATAATGTACCAACGGTATCTATCTGAATCGCAGTACTATTTACAGATAGACGTAAAAAGGAAATTGACAATTTAGTATTATTTTTTTAATGCAATCTTTTGTGCTTAAATTCTAAATATGAAAATGCAAATATTTGTATATTAACTTGAAGTTAGATAATTCTGTATAAAAAACATATATATATATATACACACATATAGATAAATAGATAAATAGATAGATAGATAGATAAATAGAAGAAATTTACTTCGTGTATCTTAAATAAAATTATAAAAACAACTTTCTAATTAAAAAATATTACTCCGTTAAAAAATTGTTTCTTATTAAAAAATAAATATAATTCTATATTCAATTTCACACAGTCAGAAAAACTCGCATAAAAATTGTTAAAACGTTAAAGCTTCATCCATAGATATGTAATAGATACAGTGGGTGTAAAAAGTATTCGTACAGTGACTAATCACGACTGAAATACTGAACAATAATATTTATTAAACAATATTTTTTAAACAAACATGGTACATCTATCTCCAAAGTCTGTAGAAAAATAATATCAAATAAACAAAAAAAAAACATTCATATTGTTCATATAAATATCAAGAAAAATGAATAAAGAAATGAAAGCGTAATAAGTATTCGTACAGTTCTATTGTCATTATTAAGTGTACAAGTAATTTAAACATTTATAATAGAAACAACAAATAATTGTAATATTAATATTTATAAATTAATAATTTAGTATTTAGTAGGGTTTCCCTTTGATTTTATTATTGCAACTAGCATTTTAGGTATTGAATTAATCAAATTAGATGTGATTTTATTCCATTCGTTGATTAAAGCATTTTTTAAATCTGTTTTAGATGAAATTGTATGTTTTCGAATTGATCGTTCCAAATAATCCCACAAATGTTCAATGGGGTTAATATCTGATGATTGCGGGGATATTTTTTAAATGTGCTGGCATATTATATGCATGCACATTTTTGTATTTTAAGCGGTATGCTTAGGATTATTATCTTGCATGAACACAAAATTATTTTCAATTTTTTCAGCACTTGAATGCAGATGAGTTTTTAAAATATTAATATACATCTTGTGATCCATTGTTCCATCAATCAAATGCAATTCACTCACATCTGCGGCACTCATGCAAGCCCAAACACATATTGAACCACCACCATGTTTTATTGTGGTGAACAGAGCCTATTCCATTGCAAAATATAAACATATTACATATATGGCGTGTTAAATACATTTAATCGTTTTTCAGGAGAACGGGTCATTTCCGACCCATGGTTCCTTGGAGACATTTTATCCTCTCGATGAGTAGATTACGAATAAAAAAACTTTGACCTCGAAAAAACAGGTCAAGGACAATTTTGCACGTTATTTTTCAAACAGATATCCACCGATCCGACGATGCAGAATCCCGCTATGGTGGTCGCGACCAATAATTTTGAAACACCCCGTACACTTGATAATGACAAATTACGAATACTTATTACGCGTTCATTTCTGTCATTCTATTCATTTTTCTTGATATTTATATAAACAATATGAATTTTTTTTGTTTATTTGATTGTTGTTCTACAGACTTTGGAGAATAGATGTACCATGTTTGTTTAAAAAATATTATTTAATAAATATTATTATTCAGCATTTTAGCCGTGATTAGTCACTATACAAATACTTGTTACACCCACTGTATGTATTGTGTTCATATACAATATAATTGTATATATACTTATAATTATTGTACTATCATTGTATGATCATATTCATAAATATTCTATACTTATAATCATTTTTTTAACCTTTTTCATTATTTATTCTTTATAAACTGCTTTTATAAATTTTTATAACAAGAAATTATTAAATTATTATAACCAAATTTAATTATATATTAAATTATTAGAAATATTTATTTATTTACGTTTTGTCTTTTATTGACAAAATAGAAAAAGAAATTTATTTACTAATTTTTGATTTACTATTTGCATTAACAAATTGTTAAAGAAATATTTTGATTATAATTACATATGTATATGTACCGGTAATTATAAAAGTAATCTAAGTCAAGAATTTATTTCGCATTACATTCTTTTAAACTAATGTATGTAATCTGATGTAATTTCTAAGAAACTGTAAAAATTAAACTGAGTTACGTCCTTAAACGTAATGTGGAATTCAGTTATTTATGTTTCAATTGTTTATGGAAAAATAATTAATTATTTCACTATCAAATAGCTAGAAAATTTTCTGCCAATTTTTATTGTCCATAATTATTATTCTATGCATTTTTCTGATTAATAAAATACCAGATCTGAGATATTCACATTGTGAGCAGTTCATATTTTGATAAGTAAATTTATTTTAAAAAAAAATTTATTTTAAAAAATATATTTCTTTAATTTTTCGCATGAAAAAAGTCGCATTTTAAAGCATATTAAGAATATTACAATTCAAAAACACGTAATAGCTTACAGTGATGCATATTCAGGCCAAAACTGTAACATTAAAATAGCACTGACGTGGATGAAAATTGTTCAATCAACATAGAAATAGTAGATCATAAATTTCTGATATCTGACCATTCATTTTTGCCGAATGATCGTGATTTTGGTTCGATAGAAATGAAAATAAGAAAAGAGAATTATTTATACATCATTAAATATTATTATGAACCACTAATATTTTAATATTATGACCTACTAATAACCTATGAGGAGAAAAGAATTCATTTGGTACAAAATTTTTTTGGCTGAAAATACAATGGATGAGATTTTTTAAAAATGCCCCGTATAAGATGCTTTATAAAACTTCTTTAAATGATACTAAATTCCATGTTTTAGACCTTTCACTCAAAAGAGGCAGGCCAAAAATATATGAAAATATCCACCTAATTCCATCATTATACATTAGAGCAATAACAGAAGAAAAATATAAAGATATTAAGGATTTACTTCCTTACATCCGACCAATTTACCAGAAATATTTTAAATCTTATCTTCACTTGAATGTTTCATATACAGAAAACGGCCAGATCAAAATCTCAATTCTATAGAGGACATTTCTACATGTAAAAATAAACCAAAAGAAAGAGAAAATCAAAGCTATTTCCATAGTGTCTACTATAAATGATTTATTTTATTATTTTTATTTTAATATCTTATTTTCTATCTTATTTATTTATTTTATCTGATTTTAAAAATTTACTCTATCCACTATGAGGATAACCTTTTATTATTTCTTATTCTAGAAAGTTTGTAATGAATGTACGATATATACTAACAGTTAAGCATTATAAGCGACAGTTTGAAAATATTTGTTTTATTATATTACTAATTATATTTACTGTATTAGATAATAAGCTTATTTGGTAACAATTTATAATAACTAATAGTAATTTATAATCGCTTAAATTTTTCTTTTACTGCATTTTCTTTGTTGGATTAAATAAATTAGATGATAAACATTATTAACTGAATTATTTAAGAAACAGAATTACTGTCTAAAATTAAAATAAATACTGACAATGAATACTGTCTATCTATTTTTAACAGTTACAAGTTACAATAACTGTAATCTTTTCCTTGAATAAAGTATATTTATGAATGTAAGAGTAGACATAAAAAATGAGATATTATATGATCACATTTAGGCTTATCAGTAAGATGATCAGTAAAATGACATATACGCGATACGTTACATAGAAATATATATAAATATATATAAATTCATACCTTTCCGTTTGTTATACTTAATTTGAAATCAAAATTTTCTTGTGTCATCCAAAATCGCCATAATCGGTAACTGTATTCAGAACCAGGTATTTTTATCTGCAATCCAAATAAATTAAAATTAAAACTTCTTGAAAATAGAACAGTAAATTACATTAATTTTTCAACGATTTTAAATATGAAATAAAACTTTTGAAGTTTTTAAATATAAATAAAACAATTTATACGTGAAAAGAATAAGTGAAAACACAAGTATTTATGTTTATGTAATATAGCTATTAAAACTGTTTTCAAAGGAACAAAAATACATGAAGATTTTCGAAGAAAAAAAGCTGTTTTTAATTCAGAAATTTATATATTCTGACATACGATAGATGTAAAATTTAAAATTATATATAAATAATAGATATATAATTCGACATTTTTGTAGAGTCAATTAAATGTATGTACATACGTATCAATTTATATGATCATACTTGGTAAAAAATTTTATCAAAATCCTTATAATATGCTAGCATAGAAAAGTGTTCGTCTTACTTTAAAAGGATAATAAATTATTTATACTGAAAAAGAACCAATCAGCATGCATATTTTTTCATTCAAAAAATATTTCAAAATCATTGAAAAATTTTTAGAAAATTTTGGAAATCATTGCTGAACAAATTTTTTATTCAAATTACCAAACCAAGCAGAAAATTATAGCATTAAATATAGCCTGCTTATAGATATTCTATTTAAATTTTATTTACTAATAACAAGTTATCTATCTCCACTTTTTACATCACTCACAAACAATAATGATATAGCACATGAAAGTTAGAATTTGGAATTAAATATTAAATAAAAAAACAAATAGATATAAAACAGAATAGTTAGAAAAACAAATAGAAATATAAATTAGAAGCAAAAAGAGAAAAAATCAGAATGGCCAGAAAATTATTAGGAGTAGCAGATAAGAAAAATGGGAAAAACATGGCAGCAGCAAGAAACAAGCTTGACAAAAAAAAAAATTTGTCATTAAAGGTCTGGTAGTGAAATAAAGAAAAAATGAAGACCTTCATTAGAAAAAAATGAAACGTTGTGTTGTTTGAAATGGGCAAGAAAAAAGGAAAGGTTGGGAAATGTGCAACAAAAAATAATAAAAAGAGATTATGGATGAGAAAAACTCTTCAATGATCTGATAAAGCAGGAGAAATTAAAGAAAAAAAATTGTGAAAAAAAGCGCAAAGTTGGTTCGAGAAAGATATAAAACTATAAAGATTCCTAAAATTGTAACCCTAAAGTGGGTCGCGAGTTGATTTCTGATGGGTTTAAAATTTTGGGTAAAAAATTTTTAAATATGAGAGTGGTTTACTGATAGTTAGTGGTGTACTGATATGTAAGCTTAAACTAGTAGAGCAATATTTTTTTATTTAATGTCTTATCCATAAAAGTTTGGGAATTACTGCTGGCTTTTCTTATCTTAAATAGAGCAGACGAACATTACGTTGTTAGAAATGCGTCACAAAATGAGTTAGCTAGCTTGCTCAAATAAGGTTTGATCAAGAGTTGAAGGAACCAAGTAGGAAAATCTTACATAAAAAAGGTACGACGAGGAAAGGTCCACTAGACAACTTTTACGTTAAGAAATCATCTTGATATGAAATTCCGAGTGAGTAGCCTCGCTCTTGCTCTCTCTAATAAAGTTCTGTCCAATTGTAAAATATAAGTAGGGCGAATTTTTATTTATACCTCTATAACCTAACAACATAAACAACAGATAACGATGTAGAATAATAATTTCAGATAATAATACTGAAAATCGTTGTCTTAGAAATTTCCGGGCATTAAACTCAATGCAGGTACCACTAAGTACCTGTTAAAAAAGAAAGAAAAAAAAATTCCGGTAATATCAGATGAAAGCCACATAGAATTCAATTTTAACTCAATGAGAGAAATAGAAATAGTAAAAACGGTAAAAACAGATAATGGAAAATGAAAGAATTCCAAATACCACGTTAAAGAAAAGGAATTGTATAGATTCAGCAAGAACAAATCAACAAATAAGATCAAAATAATAAGGCAACATGAAAAAATGGGATGATTGGAAAATCTACAACATAAGTCAAATAGATATGTAATATGTAATACTACTATATTTATACTTAAACCTCTTCCTATTTTTATTTAACATATAAATCCGTTGCTAGAAACACTTAAACAAATAATACAATAGATCCGAAGGAATTTGTACTGAAACAACAGGAAACAGATTAAATTACAAACATTTTCTTTAGATGCATATAGATCAGTTGTAAAAATGTTCAAAAATAAAGATACGGATTACTAATTGGAAATAAGGATATGGATTGTCAAGGCCAAAGTTACATAACATTTTTGACATGGATATGCTTTAATTCAGCGTGGCAAATCAGAAATTTCTAAAACCATTTGACCATCCCATTTCAATCTAGGCACCCTATAAATTTAGTCAGTCTCAAGTGCGACGACCAAGTCCACACCACTGTCATGTCATAAACACGTGCGTATTCGAAAGATTATAAACACGAAAGTTTTCAGAAGACAACCATTCTCAGAAATATTGCCTCACCCGAATCACTTTCATGGGGGGGGGGGGGGGGCGTGCGATGGAAAATTTTGGAACTCTTCCCCCATACTTTCTAATTGGTCTTCACACATTCCCCGCTTTATAACTACTCAGAGTTCTTTGGAAAAGGTAATCCTTGAGGTAAGGCTTGATAAAAAAGAGAATTTTGAAGATGTAAGAAACATTACTCAGACTACGTTATAAATATAGGATGCAGTACCGTTGGGCCTATAAAGTAATTGCCAAAATGAAGTGAATTTAGCTATAAAAGCACATTTTAGCTATAAAATAACTTACTTCCTGATCACGTGATCGGCCTAGATTCAACACTCGGTTGACAGTAGAACTGAAAAAGCAAAAATTGCAATCTTGACATTCAGTACAGAACAAGTTCCTGATCAACCTCCGGGCAAGGAAATTGAGCAAGCCTTTTTATTCACAATCTCAGTGATCAGTGAATAAGTATGTGTGTAGTACAAAATCAAACAAAGAATCCAAGTAAGAATCAAAACTCACGTCCGAAGAAAAAAACATACTATTAGATGCTGTTACAAACAACAAAGCCGCAGCAGCAAATCTGAACTGCGTAATTCCAGACAAGAGAAAAGCCACAAAAAAACAAGTTAAAGTTATCACAATAAAAAAAGGGCCACATCCTTCTCAGACTAACTTTCCATTATAAATATGCAGCAAGATATGGAATACATCAACCTAGCAATCCCTACCAAAACAGGCGTCTTCGCTGACTGTATGATCAACGAGCAAGATAACGATAAACAAAACACGGCAACTCCAATGAACAAGATATGCTCCATCGCAGACCCTCAAGCAAATCCACTTAACATGGCTCCCAAAAAGACCCAGCCATTCAATCCCTCCCCGCCCTCCTCTATATTCACGGCAACGTAAACCACGTTGAGCTTCTCCATGCCCTAAAAGACAAGTACAACAACGCTTTTCAAACAAAATATACTTCTGGCAAGCTCAAAGTCATGTTCATTAACATTTTTTCTAATTTAAAACAATCTGTTTAAAAAAATATCGAATATCACATTTACCCAATTAAGACTGAAAAAATTGTAACAATAATCCTCAACCCGGGTTAATCCGCCTTCCCGAATTCAGAATGTGCAATAATCTTAAATTCCAAGATCTAAATCCCATGCATTGCACCGAAATCCTCACTCACATTAAATATCCGATATCGCATCACTTTCGCCTTCGGAACTACGCTACCATAACCATGACAGTTAACCATGACAGATACGTGAAACATCTGAAAATATACTGGGAAAAATTCGACTCCCATAAACCAATCACGGTGTTTCCGCTGCCAAGCTCATAGTCACACCTCATCCAACTCACACCAATCACACTTCATCCAACAAGAAACCAGTTTGCGTCAAATGTGCTGGTTAGCATGACACAAGATCCTGAAACTGCTACATGTGCCAACTGCGCGCCCTACTAGCCTTCTTGGCAAAAAAAAAAAACCGCTAGCAACGTGGGACTTTAACACATGCAGCAATTCCTCCCATCCTCATTCCTTCTAACATAGAATTTTTTCCCCCTCTTCCAAAACAAAGACAGAATAAAACAAGAAATATCGTACGCAAGAGCAGTATCATACTCAACCATCCCTATAGTCTCAACCAACTGAATTTCCGATCAATACAAATCTCCCCGACCAAATAAATGAGCTCAACTCAGCAGACCTGGACCAGTTCCTTCAAACCATAGCGTTCATCCGAAAATATTATATGAATTACACCAACAACCTGGAAAGAGACAGAGCTACTATTCTAATAGTGAAAGAATTCGACAATGGCAAGCCGTAGAAACCTCATTAATAACATTTTATGGAACGCCACGAGCGATAAGAATAAGATAAATGAATTTCACAAATTCCTAACAGACCATAACACAAATATCGTAATTATCAGCGAATCCTGGTCCACCCCAAAAAACATCATGAAAATTCCAAGTTACAAAATATACGGACAAGACGGACCACAGCCAACAGCCCAACAGCCAACCCTACATCCACAACATAGAAATACTAACAATCAAGACCAAAACAGCTCTCCACACTAATCATTGGAGCGGCATATCCCCCCTCCCCTCTCAAATTAAAATCAACCTTGTTTACCTGGACACTATCATACTATTACATGATCTAGTCACTATATCATAGGCAATGTTTGTATTTGAAATTACACAGAAATCTGCAACCTCATCTGTAAGCACATTATAGAATCAAAAAACCAAAAATAGCAGAATAGACTTTCAAAAATAAAGAAAATGGACCACACACTTTGGCAAATGTACAAAACCCAAATAACTCTATTAAGAAACACTACCCGCAATAGTCTTTGCTACACAGATGAAGAAAAAGCAGAAGTCTTGCCGAAAACTTCGAATATATTCATAACACCGTACGGAATACACCCTTCTCCATCGATCACGAAATCGAAAGTTTAGCAATCTCCTTACATACGAACCCACTCACATG